CCATCTGTCCTCAGGTGTGGATTCTTTACCCCAGAGTTTGGTGTGGTCAGCAAACTTGGCCAGTCCACTTCTGACATCAATGTCTACATCATTAATGAAGATGTTAAATAGTATAGGTCCAAGGACAGAGCCTTGAGGGACTCCACTGGTCACAGGGCACCATGATGATTGACTTCCGTCAACCACCACCCTCTGGGTCCTACCGCAGAGCCAGTTTCCCAGCCAGCGGATCGTGGTGAGGTCGAGTCCACAGTTAGCCAGTTTTGCTAAGATCGAAGGCTTTTTTGAAGTCAAGATATATGACACCAATCTCTTCCCCGCTTGTCCAGGTGATAGGTTACCTGATCGTAAAAGGAAATGAGATTGGTCAAGCTAGACCTACCCACAACAAAACTGTGCTGGGTTGTTTGAGAAATCTATTGTCTGTATACATTTTTTATTTTAATCTAGAGCAGATCACATAGGCTGCTTGCAGGCGTTTAAAAAAAAAAACCAGACAGACAAGCCGTGGTTTACTGGAAGAAGTAGTGTGTTGTTTTGACCCAGGTCTGCAGTGTCTGTATAGATCGGGCACTTCAGCAAGGCTTTTTGGTGCTTTTATCTAAAGCTGAGTCAATCAGTGATAAGATAAAAGTGCCAGAAAAGCCCCACTCAAGTGCCTGATCTATATCGATGTCGTGGGAGCCAGGTCCAACTTACGTGCTGCCTCTTTTGACATCCGCTAGGGTTGGTGTGGGAGCATGCCAGGTATAAAGTGCCAGTGTTGTTGTTTTTTTTCTTTAAATAGCTGCATGCAGCCATAAATGAACAAGTATAACAGTGCTTTGTAGTGATACACAAAGACACCAGATGGATATCACCTTTGTGCCTCCATAAAAATAGTTATGGTGGTATGGAGCTTGAGCAAACAGGTGTCCTAGTCCTTGTTTGCACCACAAATGCCCACGTCTGTGAGTGGAACAGTTCCTGCTCTTAGTTTGTGCTGCCTTTTTTTGGCTGGTGTCTGTTTTCTTATAGCAGTAGACACCAGGATGCCTGTGCTTTCTAGGCACCCCAGGCAAGTGTTTCTGGGGCTTTAACAGCTCAAGCTGGCAGGAGGATTCCTAGGACATGCAAGATATTCCTGTGGCATACATATCACACTGTCATGCCCCAGCTTGGAGGAAACTTCTGCAAGCACTTCCAGGATCCCCCCGCTTGCAGACGCATGCTCATGGTTGTTGTCCTGCAGGATCAGGCTCCTGAAGTGCTAGGATTGGCTGGGGCCCAGCCGCATGGGTCAGCAGCCCTGGTGACATCTGTACATACCAGTGAAGTGGGTCACCTGTGGTGGGATGCACCCTAGTACAGCTGATCCCATTCCAAACAATGACATCTGTTTTATACCCAAGGTGTATAACTTGAGATCCATTTTGTATCGCATAATCAACACGTGATACAACACTCAAACAGTTTTTCTATAACCTTTGTTTCATGTTTTGTCTTGGAGGATGCCTCTGTCTTCCATCAAAATACTAAGTAACAGGGAGCTTTGTGATATAATTATTTAAAAAATAAAAGGAAGATTATTTCCCTCATCAGTGGAGCTTATATGTATAATTATGTTTTTTTTGATGAATACAGGAAAAGCATTCCAGCCGCATATTCTCTCTTGGAAAGTCATTCTGCTTTCAGAATAGCTCTGCACTGAACATGACATTCCAGAGTCTTCTCTGTACATGTTTATGGTTTTAAGAAAGTGTACAGATAATCACAAATCTGGCATTACAACTACTAAATATTATTCTTTGGTATACAAGTTGTATGGAACATAGTGCATATGTATTTATATTAAAGGAGATTTTTATTTACACATGTATAACTAAACTTCAAGGTTCAGATTTGCTTTTCGGGAAAGAGGAAATCACTTACCGTAGTAGTTTACCCTTCCCTGTATGAACACTATAAGCTTATTGTAATTATTTTAATTTTGTCAAAGGTAAAACCAGTTATTAAAACCAGTAATGGGCACTATCTTTCATATATTGTCTTTGATCCCAAAGGACCCACTCCAACTTACAAACTTGAACTGATACACAAAGTATACTCAGAGGTTGTTGATATGCAGTTAAGTTCTGGCACAAAGTATGTTAAATCCTTATTCTAGGCAGTTGCTGGATGGGTAAAGTAGAAATCTGAGGGAAATGACATTTGGCCAGAACCCTAACATCACCAGTCTGTTCTTGCTAGAAGTACCACTAGGTCCTTCCTTTCTACAAATATCTGTTATGGAGAGGCATTAGTTAATGTTGGAGATGGACTCAGAGTCATATTTTAAGCTTAAATTTTCCATCATCTCTTCCTGATTTTCCTTCAAATATAAACTAATTCCCCACATGCTGTTTCAGGATGGAATATTTTTGGACAGTTTAAGGGTAATGGTGCTCAACCTTTTTAGCTGGTGAGCGATGTGGGCAGTGCTGGATCTCTCCATGGGCCAGATCCAATGGGGCCCATCCAGCTGTGGAGGGAGGGGGGCAGCCCAGCCCTGATCCAGCCATGTGGTGGAAGACGGCTTGGGACTGGCCTGGCCTCAGTCTTAAGTGGGGAGGGGTTTATAGCACAGCCCCTGTCCATCCTTGCAAGGGGAAGGAGGCATGGCTCAGCCCCACAGGGGGAAGGGGGCATGGAGTGACCCCAGCCGGGCTTGGCAGAGCACCAGGGGCATTGCCTAGCCCCACAGGCAGGGTGGGGAGAACAGGAAGGCATTTGGTCCAGCCCCAGACTGCTGTGCAGGAGAGGGGGTATGCTGCTATAAGTCAGTGCTTCTTCGTGCAATAAAAAATGACAGAGGGAATTCTACTTCTGAGGTTTATGAAAAGGCAAAGTTTTATAAATAACATCTCTCTAAATTGTTGATTAAATTCAGATTTTTGCAGTAAAATTAGATCATTTACAGTTTGTGCAGTTTGCTGTAGTTTTATCTAGACAGACATCTGCAGGAAGCTATGCACTCCATGTTAACCATCTGCTGTAGGCACTGTTTTTACAAATCTTTGAAATGTCTGATTTTGAACAATAGCATTTGCTGTGCATTTTGCAATTATTTTGGTATTCCAGTAAATAGGGAATTGCTCTTCACTTTTGTTTATGATTTTTTAATTTCTCTCTCTATAGAACAGAAATATTAAACTATTATGCATTACCAATGACATGTTTATTATTACTTGTCTCATGTTATTGCAGTCAGATTTGTTTACGGAATGCAATGTGATTAATGGTTATCTGCATTATCTGTTTTGGTGCTGTATATATTTTCATATGGAATCTTTTGCCAAGAAGTAAACCCTGATACCATTTCTGGAACATTTCTCACAGCAGTACATTTGATTCAGATCTGTAATATAGAAGCATATAATATCTTTAAAGCCCTTTACATTATCTAGAAGCTGTCTTTCTCCTGCCATGTTCCATCTGCCTAATGGTGCAAGAGGCAGGCCCTTCAAAGGCTTGTAGCTCTAGATGTATCAGAAATGTCTAGTTCTGTCCTGAGAACGGTTTCTCATTCTGGTTGACTGTGTACCTGGCTGCTATGTAGTTTCCCACTTAATATATACACAGTGGTTTTACTTGTCTTTGCTAGAGTTGACCCATAGTGATGCAACTTTACAGTCTATCACAGTGGGGCCTATTCTGTCAGTGTTACCATACTGAGGGAAAGGGCCTGCATTTTGAGTGTAGAGAGGAGTTATGGGCTTTATAGGAAGCTTTTAATGATAGAGAACAAAGGGTCAAGCAGGGATGTAATGTGAAATAGCTGTGCAGTCATGAGGACAGCCTGGACAGGGAGGCACTACAGAACTATTTCTAACTTCAGTTGGGCAGCTTGCTGTCTATTCGGCTTCTTGACTGTGGTCCAACCTCCTACTCACTCTGTCTTGCACATCCCCATGGTCTGCTGCCTCCATCCCCATGCAGACCCATTAAGGTTTACTAGAAGGACTCAGTTAATATCTCCTGGCTTTGCTAAGTGTTATTTCCTGTCTTCAGCCAACCGACTGACACTTTATCAATAATATAAATGTTACGAACAAGGTCTGGGGATGACCAGTAGTGTAACTTGGGAGAGGCAAGTGGGGCACTAGGCACAGGTGCTGATTCAGAGGGGGTGCAGCTTCCTTCAGGATGTCTGTGCTGCTGCTTTTGCTGCTTTCATACATTCATAGTTACAGCTGTTCCCTGTTCAGTGACTTTCGGTTGAGGTGGCGGCAGCAGCTACACCTGCAGTGTGTGCTCGTTCCCTTCCCAGTTGCACCCTGCCTCAGGATGGCAAAATGTCAGGTTATCCTCTGGGACCGGTATCAGAAATTGGTGGAGTAGTTAATGATGATACAGACAGATAAGTTACACAGCCTTAAATAGCTTACACGGTAAAGTAGGTTATTTTGAACAACATCATTTTTGAGACAGCTATGCAATTAACTGAATTGAGTAGGTCTACTAATGTAACAACAGAAATATCTGACTGCCGGGCAACTGCATTGTTGCACTCCGTTCATATTGTTAAGATTTTCTTCACAACTATAGATGTGTAGATATATTTTATGTAGCTAAAGCTTGTATTCTACAGCAATTGATGGCCAGGGTCATACTTGCCCAAGAAAGCCCTGTATTGGTTTCAGGCAAGCAAGTGGGACAACAAGACTAGCTTGAATTCCGTTCGTCCAACAGGATATTTAATAAGAAGCACAGATTGGAGCCCATATTGCTGAGTCCCTTATAAAGAACAAGGACTATTGACTCTGCTGCAAGAACATTAGTTAACTCAGTAATACTGTCAGTTTCTACTTGGCCCTAAAAACTTGTTAATAGCAAATTTAAACATAAATATCAGAAAGTGAAAATAAAAATTAATATAATAGTATCAGTGTCTGTTTGTATTGCTTTTAAGTGTGTATCTAACATGTATCTAAGCAAACGGGACACTATAAGCATACTAATTATTATACTTCTTTTTTCAGGTTGCTAAAATAGAAAATATCAGTCATTTAGGTCAGCTCAGAGTGTTGAACCTTGCCAGAAACCTTTTAGCATCTGTAGAAAACCTTAATGGACTGCATTCACTGACAGAACTTAACCTTCGTCATAATCAGATTACATCCATAGTAAGTAATAACAGTGAATTAATATATGTTGTTTTTCTTCAGCCAAAAAGATAGTAAAATACAATACATCTTTTCCAGGGGTGTCAAAGATGCAAAAGATGTATACAAAAGATACAACATACCTTTTCTAGGGGTGTCAAAGATATAGCCTGTGAGCTTGGACCCGCACACTACAGTGTGCCCCAGACTGCCTTACATACCATAAGCATTGCATGCCAGCCACATGCATATGCCACGTGCAGTGTGCTTGGCTCATCTGGTGCATGTGCTGCATGCAGTGTTCTAGGCCCATCTGTGAACCTGATCTGGCCCGTAGACCGGCCCTGCAGCACTCATTCAGCTCTCGGGGCCTGCTGAATTTGACTGTCCTGAGTTAAAACATATTGTGTTACAAATTTCTGAAAATATGGTCAATTCATTTTGTCTTATGACTTTGTGTTGGTGCTGGAACACTTAATTTTATAAGTGGCTGAAACGGAAATTTAATGTTGTTTATTCTGGGATGTTCTATTTAAAGTATTGCTTGCAATAGGGAGGCATACATAATAGTTACTGAGGTTGCTAAAAAGTAGCTAGAGCTTGAAGTTGTATAATTCACTTAATGCATAAAGTAACTTTTTAAAATACAATAAATTTTGTACTGATTTTGCCTTTAAGGGCACCTACACGAGTCCAGTGCCTGCTCTGACGCCTGCTAATTAGTACGAGTCAGAGCAGACTCGATTAATTCTAAGAGCCACTAATTAATGCACCCCTTTTCCCCTACCTTGGGCATCCTTACACATGGTCCTAGGAGACCCTGGTTATCAATAATATCCATAACAGTTTCACCTTATATTTTAGAAGTAAGTCAAGGAAAGTCAGAATAAACTATAAAACAAATCTTGTTTAAAAACTGCCAGTCTCATTTACAATCAGCAGACACTTTGAATAAGTCAAGGCTATGTAGCCTGAAACATAATAGTAGTTGCCAATACTGTTTGCAGGACAGTGAGAACATACATGAGCAATAATTATTGCAGTCTTTTACTACATAACCTTGATCTAAAATAATTGTAACAGATTTGTAATATAATACAGAAACACATTGCATTAAAGAATGTTGTATTAAATACCTAGAACAAAGTATTCCACAGATAGTGAAGAAGGAAATGGAACGTTATACATGAGGTTAGTGAGTCCAGTTCCAATTTCTTTTTTATTGTAGGTCTTGCCTGTGTTGTCTGGCTGGTTCCAGAATATGATTTTCATCAAAGGTGACTGAATTTTGTTGGATAGAATGTGGAGGCTTCAGTTCCTCTGCATAGGAAGATGTTGGGCTTCACTGATAGAAGTACTGTATGTAAGAGATGGCAGGTGATAGTAACCCTCAAAGTTGGTTAGGACTTCACTTTTGGGCACTTCGTTTTAAGAATTATGTAGAGAAACTGGAGAGGATCCAAAGAAAGGCATGTTAAAAAATGGATAAAAGAATGCAAGCTATACAAAGAAAGACTGAGAGAAAGGTATATTGATTCAGATTAAATGTCAGGAAAAACTCCCTACCTGTATAAACAGTAGGACAGTAGAAGAAATTAGGGGTAGTGTTGAATCTCCTCCTTCACTGTTTTTTAAAAAGGGGTTGATAGCCATCTCCAAGATGATTTAAGAATAGTGCTTCATGCATATATGCAGAGGGTTGGACTCTAGTGCCTCTTTGAGGTCCTTTGTTGTGATTCTTTGTAATGCCAAAGCCGCCCTCCCCTCTCCACCCCCCTGACCTTCCTTAGCTTTGGCTTTGCTGAGCATCTTGGTCCTTTTTAATAAATCTCTCTTATTGTATAGGGAATAAGCAGATTTAATGCATTAATCCTTCTGTTCACACGAGACATGAGAATAGTATTAGTCATGTGTGAGAGCTTTCCTTAGAGTTTACATTGTAGACTTTTTTTCCCAAAAGATTTATGTTTGCTATCTACAGCTGTATTCAGAACTCTTGGTACAAAATTTGAAATATTAGTTGAGACCAAAGGTTTGTGTAGAGGTATCTATATCTGTGAAGTTTGTCATTGAATCCAGTGGAACAAGGCATTCATTCAATATCTTTCATGAATTCGATTGATGCATTTGCTTTCCATCATTCATTGGAAGAAAGAATCCACAACACCAGCTCCTACACAGGAAAAATATTAAAAGACTACATAGATCCTAAAATCATAAGCTTCATAAGTCTCATAGTCCCTCAACTTCATGCTTATGCCTTGCTGTCTTTCCATTAAGAATATTGTCTTGAATCTCCTGAGTTTAACTGTTCCTGTGCTTATAATCTGCTTTGTTCCTTGAAATGACAAGAACATAGAAACAGTGATTGTCTCATATAAGACGAATTACTTCTATGGTTTTTATAAAAAGCACAAATAAGTTAATATGTGTATTTTTTTTTTTAAATAGTATATTTAAATTATTTGTCTGTGAAAGAAGTGCTTTGTCTTAGTCCAGTTTGGTTTGATGAAAGAAGGATTAGCCTTGTGTTCAATCCAGATTAGTTTTATATCATATTTTTAGCAAAGTTGCTCTGCCTTGGCCTATTTTAATTCAAGCATTTTACAAGTTGATTTTTGTGATGTTGACCAATTAATGAAGGTTTGTCTTGTTATATATTTTACTGTAATTTTCATAATCATGTTAAAAAATTCTAATGGCAAACTTTAAAATTGGGTACCAGATTTGGTAATTGTTGGTTTAGATTCCAAGATATATTGTTTGTCAACTCAGAATGCTCTAATTTGGTGTTTACAAATATGTTTTTCAGTATTTCATATATGACCTGTATCAGATGAGTCCCAGTCATGACTGACAAATGTAAAGCACTATCTGGGACTGCTTTATTTAAACTTTTTTTAGTCATTTAGGGTGCCTATTAGATGTGCCTGGAGGTTGCTGTAATTTTGAAGTGCAGGGACACTGATACACGAGAAGCTGGCAGACACTTTAATTAGAGCACCTTTCAGAACTGCTCTAATTAGGGTGTCCCCTCATCTTACATGTGAAAATGCCTGTTGTGGTCTTGGCCATTTCATAGTGTTTTAGGTCTAAAAGTACTAAAGTAGACAGTGTATACCTTTCTCTCAGTGCCCAGTGGTTCTCAACCTTTTTAGACACAAGGTATCACTCAATGGACTCAAAGCACTCCTTGGGTGCTAAGCTTTCACTTGTTTTTTAACTACAGAAAAATAATAGAGCAATTTTTCTGTTGCAGAGAACTCAAAGACCACAACAGTAATGGTTTTGACACTATGGATTCTATTTGAAATCTCTGGGTTTAACTTGTGAATAAAGTATAGGCGTTTGCTTACTTAACAGTGCTATACTTTGTGGCACCCTGAAAACAATCTCATGGTACCCTAAGGTGCCACAGCATCCTGGTTGAGAAGGTAGTTTACTTTCATTCCTGGTGGGTATTTGCTGCCAAGGGAAAAATACCTTCACATCCCAGAATGATCACTAAACCCTGAGCATCTGGGGAAGAATTCTGTATAAGAACTATAATGTCAGGCCTTAAGGCATGTTGATGTCCTCCCTCTCAGCATTTTTGCTTTCGTTCCACTGACTCAGCTAGAAACCTCAAGGTGTAAATCTGATGGAGGGAGAGAATGTAGATGCAGCCTTTGGGTGAAAATATAGGTGGCCTGCCCCTGTGTCACCTTTCAGATGCTGATGGTGCTGGCAGTTCATATTTACAGCTCAAGTTGGAGAAAACCTTATTATAGGGGTTTGGAGGTCTCCAGTCCTAACCATCTGAGCGCGCATAAGGGCATGGTAAACCATAATCCTTGATAAATGTGGATGTGTTTTGTAAATACAGGTTCATCTTACTTGATTTAGTTCAGTGTGTAAATGGATGCTTTTTCAAGCTTTGTAGCAGCATTTAACACTAGTAGTAACAATTATACATATGTAAACTATATACTGTTTGGAGGCTGACACCGGTTTGCATTTAAGTGTGGCCTTTAGATTAAAATTTACTAAAAATTTTTACTGACTGTACAGACTGCAGTTTGGAAGGTGATTTGCATGAGTTTGCACTTTAAGGCTGTAGTGCAATATCGTCAAAAAAATCAAATTTGTGTTTATGCAGTTTGATTACAGTATACTTACCCTGCAGCTTAAATGCTGATGCAGCATCTTGGCTCCTTTCCTGAAAGCCTGTTCAAAGAGACTAGAAACAGTCTCATGCTCTGCTCTGTAATGCTATTTACCTTGCAAGTGGTGCAGCATGTTCTGCAGAGTAGATATCTGCACTGAAACACTCCCTTGTAATCTGTATCAGAGAGGAATGGAGCTGCATGTTCAACAGAAATCAATGTTGCAGCAAGGTTACAGTAAATAGAAATTGGGTATATTTCATCTTAAGGCCAAGTAGAAAGGTTCAAAAGATGTTCTCTCTCAGCTGCTGAAATTGATGCTTCTGTCTTCCTTCTAGAAAGATGTGGATACTTTGCCCTGCCTCCAACGTCTGTTTCTCAGCTTCAACAACATATCTAGGTAAGGTGGATTTGCCAGTTTGCTTTTTATCAGTATTTTAAGTATATTGCAGCCTGAAAAAAACTTTATTCTAGCAAGGTATATTGGATAAGGAATATGCAATGTCTGAGATTTATACCAAATGTAAAACCAAAGTTCTAAACCCTTTTACTTTTAAATACATTGTATATTTGTGAAAATTCTACTATTCTGTTTAAAAATACATGATTTATAATACTGAAAAATAGAAAATACTTTTTAAATACTGTGTGTAGTAGTAAACTAAATTGATCTAAATAACATTGCATAAATTATTATTACATTTAACTTATAGCCTACTGTATTCATTCACATTTTTCATAAAATGATGAATAAAAACCTGTTTTATTGAAGTTACTAGATTTTTTTTTCAAACTTGTTTGTCTTTCTGAACATCTTTTTGTTATTGAAGTCTGCAGTCTGTATTCATTATTGTTTCACTTTCAAACCAGGCCATAAAAACAGAGTAACTTGGCTTTTTAAAGCAAGATTATTGTTATTTTAATGAATGCTAAGCATTTTTCATTGTAAAGAACAAACATTTTTATATATTTATATCAGTTTTACTTCTATGTGCCTATGGACTCAGCATTTGTACTCCATGTTGATATTTCTAAAACCTTTCATCTTAAAAAGTAGTGCACATGTACTGTATTCCTTGTAGACTGCTTGTCCCTTTTATTCTTTAATCCTCATAGGAATTCACCATTTAGGAAAATAAAATTATTATTATTAGAGACAGAAAATATACTTCCTTTCTTCGTTACTGGAAAGACTATTGTTTTTCATTCTATTTATTTTCCCTGTAGGGATGGAACTTAATAATTACGTATATTATAAACATAACTTTTAACTGGAATAACAATTAGACGATTTTGTTACCTGCATTATATTTCTTAGGAATAATTCTGTCATTCTTGTCTGTAATCAATATGTTGCTTATGCAGTTGTGGAACATATATATGAAAATACTTATGGATATTTAGAAATTTAAAAAATCCTATATGAAGATTTATAATACTGAATTTACATTGTCCTCAATTTATCTGCTAGAACCTCTCCTTTATATTTTAAGTTTAGATTATACAGGACAAATTTATGTTTTATATCTGTTTAAGTAATGACCAGTTCTCTGACTTTAACTATGCTGTTTGTTTCTCTTTTGGTAATAAATGACTTAGCCTGGTTTTAGCAGTGGGAGGACTGCAGTGGTTGTTCCTCCTGTCATCAGGAAGTATCACTGCAGTTGGTGGGAAGTTCTTTATGATATTTAATAATTGATGTAATCCATTCAACACTATTTCCTTTCCTGCAATATTTTATGCAAAATAATTATCCTATTTTTAAAGTATGCAAGGAAGATGAGGGAGAATCCTTGGAAAATCTACTTGTTTGAATAATCAGTTACTGATTACGTAAAGGAATACCTGGCTCATTGGTTAGAACTCATTGACTGGGGCCTTAATGAATGGGACAAGGGCGACTTCCAGGCCTGACATTAGCTCTGGCACATCCCTGTCTCTGAGCAAACCGTCTGCCTGCTGTCCTGCCACGCCTTGTTAAATAATCAAGATGTTAAATAGGTGGGAGGCTGCCCTTTGAGTGCCCCAGTTGTAATGGGACCATATTTACATGTTCCAGCCACCCCTTACATACACACAAATACATACACCCAAACAAATGCATACTGGGCTCCAAGCCCTCGGCCCCCTCACTAGGGTTCTACTGGGGTCATTCACTCCTTGGGGCTTAGGTGGCTGCAGTTGTGCCTGGCCCTAGGGTCTTACACCCCCACATTGGGGTCTGCCACCCCGTCCAGCTCAGGTGGCCATAGTCCTGCCTGGCCCTCTACCCTGAGGTATTGCACCCGGTGGGGCTCAGGTGGCCACAGCTGTGCCTAGCCCCATCTCAGGGCCTCTGTGACCACAGGACTCACAAAGAGCCTGGGCGCTGCTCCAGGTCCCTCCTCCAACCCGGGCCCTGCTTCAGGACTCCCATGAGCCTGGGCTCCCCCTGTGCAGATTGAAACCACCAGGGATGAGGGGGCTGGGGTTTCTAGGTGCCTCTCCTCGCCTTTCACCAGGGAGGTAACTGGCCTGGCATTCCTGGGGAGCTAACTTGTCACAGGTAGCTCCACCAGGCTGCCCTTCCCTGGCAGGGTGCAGTTTCAGGTCATGCCCAGGACCAGTGAAGCTGCCTCCTTCCCCATAGCCTCACCCTTTACCTCCGAGTTTCCAGGAGCAACTCAACCTAATGTTGCCTCCTTAGCTGCTCAACACCAGACTACTGCCTTTCTGGCCTATGTCTGAAAATGGCTGCTGCCATCAGCCACCTGGTGGCTGCCTGCTCCAGCCCTTAAAGTGACAGAGCATTAAAGAGATCCTTAGAGATTATATGTGACATGTATATACTTTTATATAATTATCTTTCCAAGTGGCTCATTTGATTTTACTATCAGGTAAAAATTGCACCTTCACATTATGTAAACCTTGTGAACTAATTTAACACTTTCATGGTAGTCACCATAATAATACCACTTTAGTCATTTGTGGGCTTCTGAAATGTTGATTCTATAGAATGACAACATTTTGCAAAGGATTAAATATGAATTTTTTTGAATTTTCTGACTGTCATGCTATTCCACAAGAAAGTGATTAAATAAAAAGTATAGGCCTGGTGGCAGCTTGAATACAAATATTTGATTCAATGCAATTTAAGTTGATTAGAATATCTTAAGCTCTCTGAAAACTGGTAATTTAGACATAATTTTAACATTAGTTAGTGTTGCTTTAGTAACATCTACAAAGTTCCTGTTACCTTTTTTATATGTTATATATCTTACAGTTTGTTTATTTATTTGGCTTTACCATACACCAGGTAGGTTGATTACATTCACATCTTGATGATCTCCTATTAACAATCTTTAGGATCATTAAACAAGTGAAAAATTCTGAGTTTCTTGCTCAATTGCCCTGATTTCTCATGTAGAGATGTGTTGAGTAGATATTTGGAAAACACGTTTTGTGTGATACCATGGTCATGCTCAACATCAGGACCTGTCTGTGGAACACTTTTTTGAAAGTCATTGCCATATTCCATGATAAAACATGATAAGAAGTGATAGCTGAGAAGTTGGTGCTGAACAGTGTAGCCCATGCCTGCTATTCATCTTCTACACTCTTTCCATGTCCTTTTCAGAGACATTTCTTACCAGAGCTCTTCTTGCAAACAGGATTGGCCTCAGTACTACTTTCAGGAGCCACAGAATAAGTTCCTCAGGAATACAGGAGAATTGGGTCCTATGCCTAGTATTTCTTCATTCTGAAATTTGTCCTTTACTAAACCTCATGAGACTTAACAACTGCAATATGCCACCTCATGTCAGAGCAGTTGCACTTGCCTCAGCCATTCTGTCACTCCAGGTTCAAAGTTTTGAGTTATCAACTTGTCAGGTAGAACACTGCCATTCACCATACTTGTGGAGTACCTCCAGAATCACAGCAGAGTCCATCTGTTTTCAGTACAGGATTCTGCTCTGTTGGCACTGGATTTATGACCCAGAT